GTCTTTATTTGCTAGGCTTATAGAGGGCTATTTTTCAAGAGTTCAGGAAATGATGTACAGAGAATAAAATATTTAGTTTAAAATTTATAATACTGTCTTACATCATTTGATGAGTCATCTCATTAGTAATTAAATGGGAATTCTGCAGTTGTTCTAGATGACCTTAATCCAATTCTGAGGGATCTATACTGAGGAAATAATCTGATGCGTAGAAGAATAAAATGCCTAAAGATGTTCATCACAGTGAAAACTTAAAAACAGCATAAATGTTAAAGTAAGGTGGAAGGGATGGTTTAAGATATGTTATGGTATATTCATAGAATAGAATCATTTAGACACCTTTAAAAAGTTTATAATGAGATTTTGGTGACACAAGAATGTAGGCATTTTAAAATATGAAATAAAGGGTAGGATGTCAGATTTCTGCTTCTTCCAATGTTAGACTAGGTTGTTTCAAACCAAATAATACTGCTGACTAGAAAAGCTAGAAGACGTTGCTATAAAAGCAGTGAGAAATTAGAGGCCAGGTTCTGGAAGATAAAGAAAGCTCTGAGAGGTAAGTCTGATTTTTGAGGCTCCCTTGCCCATAAGGTCATTGCTGATTCTGGAAGTGACAGCTGAGACACTGAGTTTTCAAAATATTAAAGGAGGACAGAAAATTGGAATTAGGGCCTGCCAAGGTGGAAGGGTCTGGGAAACACTAGATTTTATGGTTGGGGTCCCTGAGGGTCTGAATTGTAAGAGTAAGGGTAAAACAGAAGCAAACCAATCTTTACAGGGACTGAAGACTGAAGCCCAGCTTCTTAATCCTCTCAATTTTAGATTAGATTAAGATGACCTGGAATTCCTAGTGTCCCTAGGCAGTCTGCTAGAAGCAAAAGTAAGTCCTTTTTGAATATCATCCATAACCTCCTATTTTTGTTGATATAATTTTTATGTACAATGTTCATCATTCAATAAATAAATAACTAGGCTTATGAAAAAATAAACTACAATTGAAAATCAACAGGAAAGATTGTTAATAGAAGCATACCTGCAGGGGGCAGATATTTGAGCTATCAGTCATGGACTTATATCTATGATTAATACATTAGAAGAATTAAAGATAAAATTGATAATTTTGACAGAGCTGAAATGATAAAGAATGAAATAGAAATTCTAAAACTGAAAAGCATAAGAATTTTATTATGATTAAGACTATGATGATTAAGAATTCAGTGGGTGGATTTAACAGCATAAAGCTGAAGAAAAAATTAATGAAGTGGAAGATACATCAGAAAAAAAAATCCAGACTAAAGCATTGGTAGAGAAAAGGATGAAGGATACAGGAAAGAGTGTGAGAGACAAAAGGAATATGGAGTAAAAGTTCTTATAAGTACTTGAAATTATAGGAGAGGAGAAAGACCATGGGGCAGAAGCAATATTTGATGAACAATTAACTGAGAATTTCCCCAAACTGATGGAAATCATGAAGTCATAAATCAAAGAAGCTCTATAAACACCAGGAAAAATCGAAAGTAAACTGTACCTAGGCACATCATAGTAAAATTGCTGAAAACCTGGGGCAAAGAGAAATCTTAAAAGCAACCATGGATAAAAGACATTCTACCTTCAAGGGAGCAACGAGGCTGACAGCCTGCCTTCTCAGCAGTAACAGTGGCATCCAGAAGGCATGAGATAATACAGGCAGACCTCGTTTTATTGCATTTCGCTTTATTGCGCTTAACAGATAATGCATTTTTTATAAATTAAAGGTTTGTGGCAACCCTCTGTTGTCAGTTGATGGTTAGCATTTTTTTTATCAGTGTGTTTAAATTAAGGTATGTACATTGTTTTTTAAGGCGTAACACTGTTGTGTACTTAATAGACTACAGGGTGTAGTGTAAAGATACCTTTTATATGCACTAGGGAACCAAAAAATTTGTGTGTGTCACTTTATGGCAATACTTGATTTATTGCTGTACTCCCTTTCTTGCAGTGGTTTGAAACTAAAACTGCAGTACCTCTGAGGTATGCCTGTAGCGATAAAGTGATTACAGAAAATAACTGCCAATCCTTATCCTTACGAAAATAGCCTTTAAAAGTGGATACAAAGGAAAGATGTCTTCAGATAAACAAAAACTAAGGAGAATTTGTAGCCAGCACCCTATACCCTAAAGGAAATACCAAAGGATGTTCTTTAGGCTGGAGGAAAATGGTTTCAGATGCGATGAAGAGCACTGGGAAGGGTGGTTATGTGGGTAAATATGAATGAATATCGACTGTAAAGTGACAATAGTAATAGTAATAATGACTTGTGGACTTCATATGATATGTGGAATTAAAGTATATGATAGTAATAGCACATAACTTGAAAAGAGTAAATGGAGTTAGTGTTCCAAGTTCCTTGCATTGTCTGGGTAGTGGTAAAAGTACTACTTTATATAAGACTTCACGAGTCAGAGATGCATTTTATAATTACTAAGGTAATCACTAAAAGAGTAGTAAAAGAATATATATTTGACAAGCTAATGAGGGAGAAAATTGGGAAAATTAAAAAAATGGATAAACCAAAAGAGAGCAAGAAAGGGGAGATAAAGGAATATGAAACAGGAGAGAAACATATAAAACAAACAGTAAATTATTTTATTATGTATTGTAGGATCAGTACTTACTAAGTGAACCATATGAAATTGCCAATATTTGACCTACAATAATAAGTTTAAACAGCTGAAATATAAACAGGTGAAATTGGTTAAAACTAAAGATTGTCAGAATGGGTTAAAAGGAAACCAACTATGTTCTGCATATGAAGAGTCATGCATTAAGTGTAAGAATACAGAAAGTTTGAAGGTAGAAGAATGGAAAAAGATAAACCATGCAAACACTAAGCCATGAAAGTTGGTTTAGCTATATAAGATAAAGTGGGCTTTAAGGAAAGAAGCATTACTAGAGGTAAAGGATATTTCACTGATGAATGTTTCAGTTTACGAAGAAGAAAATGAGAAGGATAGTGAAGAATATCCAGTATTTTAATTGCATTGACTTTTTTTAAATGAATGGGAAAAAAAGTTCAGTAGTCCTTATGATTTATTGTAATTAAAATATTAGTATTGTCAAACTAATCAGTCTTTGCATCTTATGATTTATTTTTGTGTTTTAAGAAATACTTCCTCTCTGAGATCATAAAGTTCAACACATATTTTCCAGTTTTCTCCTAAAGGCTTTAAAGTTTTTTCTCCTCACAATGAGATCTTTAATTCATCTGAAATTCACTTTCATGCAAGGTGTAAGGCACCTAGTTTTTTTTTTCTGTATGAATAACCAGTTTTCCAATGGATATTCCCTCGAATTGTGATTTGTAATTCCACTTCTGACACTGAATTTCCACATACGTGTGTCTCTGGGCTTTCTTCTTTTCCTTTTGGCTGTCCATCTGTCTTTGGTCAGCATCACAGTATTTTAATCATAAGATATGAAAAAGTTTTGATAGCTCATTGAGTGAATACCCCACCTACTCTGTGATTTTTCAAAATAGGCTTGACTGGTTTTGGCCTCTTTCTCTTCCATGTGGGTTTTGAGATCAACTTGTTAAGTTCCAAGAAAAAGCTTTTTGGAATTTTGATAGGAATTGCACTGAATTCATACACTAATTTGGGGGAAAACTGGTATCTCTCTATTGAGCCTTTCTCTCCTTAAACATGATAGAATTCTCCGTTAATTTCTATCTTTTATGTTCTTCAGTTAAGTTTTATAATTTTCTTCATAAAAGTCTTGCACATCTTTTGTTAGATGTATTCCTAGGAGCGTTAAATTTTTATTTGTACAGTTTTGAATGGCAGTAATTAAAGTTATATTTTAAAATTATTTATAAAATATTTATGAGTGCTGTTTGTTTTGGTATATCAATTTTAAATCCGACAACCTATTAGACTTTTGTTTCTAATGCTTTGTCATTTTCTGTTTTATTTTCTTCATGGACAGTTATATCATCCACAAATAAAATAAAATTTATTTTTTTATTTCTGTTACTTATTTTTTTAACATTTTTTATTGATTTATAATCATTTTACAGTGTTGTGTCAAATTCCGGTGTTCAGCACAATTTTTCAGTCATTCATGGACATATACACACTCTCTGTCACATTTTTTTCTCTGTGAGTTATCATAACATTTTGTGTATATTTCCCTGTGCTATACAGTGTAATCTTGTTTATCTATTCTACAATTTTGAAATCCCAGTCTATCAATGTAAATGGAAAGTGCAAAAGAAGATGGTAGGAATAAATAAAAATTATCAGTCATTATAAGAAATATAAAATGGACTAAACTCACCAATGGACTAAACTCACCAGTTAAAAAACAAAGATGATTGTACTGGATTTTAAAAAAATCTAGCTTTATGTTTTTAAAAGAGACCTACTTAAAACATAAGAACTCAGAAAAGAAAGTAAAAGAAAATAAAAAGAATTAAGTAAAAGAAAATAAAAAGAATTATCAGATAAATTCTGAGAGTCCTTTATACGGGAAGGAGTGGGATCTCAGTTCAACTCTTGACTGAGTCCCAGACCTCTGTGCTCCTGTCCCTCCCCCGGTGGTTGTTAAAGCTCTGGGCCCCTAAGTTACCAAGGTTACCTCCCAGGGCAGGCATGTTCTCTAATTCTGCCCCTGGGAATTTTCTTTATTCTGTTGTGGAGTGAGCCATGCATTTAAAAGGAATTTGCCATACTTCATCTAACATTTTTTAGGCTTATGTGTGGATTTCCCGCCCGTCCAGTTGTTTAGTTTTCTGTGTATTGTCTGAACTGTTAGATATAGTTTTAAGAACCCACCCTTCTAGGGGGACCACTAAAAAATGTAAAATGATTGTCTGTGGGTGGGAGGGGGTTATGGATCATTTCTTATTAAATATTGTTTATATTTCTGCAAACGAGCAATATTTTATAACTTTTTTAAACTTAAAAAAGGAAGTTGCCCTTAAGATCCTCCAAGTAATAGCCCTTCTTTTCCATTTGTTGCAGGTGGTGCGTTTGTGTCAGAACCCAAAGCTGGCGCTAAAGAATAGCCCACCTTATATCTTAGACCTGCTGCCAGATACCTACCAGCATCTCCGCACTATCTTGTCAAGATATGAGGGGAAGATGGAGTCACTTGGAGAAAATGAGTATTTTAGGGTGTTCATGGAAAATTTGATGAAGAAAACTAAGCAGACCATAAGCCTCTTCAAGGAGGGAAAAGAAAGAATGTATGAGGAGAATTCTCAGCCTAGGTAATGGAGAACACTACACAAATATTTATTCAGGTCTGTGATTGCCCAAGTTGGTAACACGTAGAAGTAGTTGAGTTGGTTTTAATTTTATGTCAACAAGAATAGAACGCAAAGTTGACATTTGATTTCAAGCTGTGTTTTGTATAAAATGTTACCTTGGAGGGTATTGAACCATCCCTAGCTCTGGGTCATCCCTGGTCATTTGTTTATCTCTGAAAAGTCAGTGACTTATAGTCATGAAAATGAGTTGGAGGCAGCTGGTCCTTCAGAGACCCTGAAGATCATGAAAGTTTGTAGATGGGTGAGAGTTTGAAAGAAAGAAGTTGGGGTTAAACTGAGGTTGGGAATAGATAATAAGAGGTCGGATGTTGCAAGCTGGTAGCTTATTAGGTAAGTTGTAAGTATGGGATAATAGGAAAAAAGTTAAGCCAGCAGTTTTATTTATTTATTTATTTATTTAATAAACTTAAAAAAATTTTTTTTGTTTCCTTTTTAAGTTTTTTCCTTTTGTTTCTTTCTTTTTTTTTGAACTTTTTAATTTTTTTTAAAATGGAAGGGGGAGATAATTTTAGGTTTATTTGCTTGTTTATTTTTTCTAAACAGAAATACTGGGAATTGAACCCAGGACCTTGTGCATGCTAAGCATGCACTCTACCACTGAGCTATATCCTCCCCTCCCTAAGCCAACAGTTTAGATAACTTTTTTTTTCTTTAAATGAAGTGATGTGAAATGACATTTCCTTTTTAGGTAAAATAACTTTTCAAATAGAATAGAATGCTTTCCAAATAGAACTGGCAGATGCAGTTAGTTCAGTAATATTTGAGGGACCATTAGGTATTCTTTTGTATTTATTAAATGGTAAAAGCTATATTGACTGTCCCATATGTTATTGGCTTGATGTAAATTACATATTGGGAGATAAATAGGTTGATTGTGTTCATGGGTATAGTTGTGTTTGGTTTTGTCCAATTGGAAATAAATATTAACTCATTTGGAACAAGTAATAAAATGTAAATTCTGTTAGAACTTCTTAAGGAGTAACTTACTCTTGAGGTGTGACTTGAATTGGGAGAGACAGTAATTTCTCAGGGCTTTCGGTTAGCATACATTACTTGAGCAGCAGCTTAGTAAATGGTATCTTTGCAGCCTTTGACTCTGTTGGCTTAGAATCTGGGAACCTTCGTCTTGCACTTAAAATTTTACCCATGTTGTTATTCATGTTACCTTTACTGTGACAAATTACTCAGGTTTGGTCCAGACTATCAGTATTTTCTCCTTAAAAAGGTTTCTGGTGACAGAATTTAGTCTGTAGGAAACTTCGTAACTTCTGGTTTTTATGAGAATGAACTTTATCCCTTTTAATTATTTAAATTTCATGACTTTTGTTAAAATAAAACCTTGACTACATGGACCTTGGCTCACTAGTCATTTTGTATTACTGAGTTAAAAAAAAATTTAGACTTTATTAGTAGGTACCAAAACTTAAAAATTTTACTTATTATTAGCAATGAACTAGGTTCAAATTCTTGGAGGTGAAAAGAAGAGTTAAGCATTCAATTCTGATGTAATATGTTAAATGCTTTAATAGAGATCTACAAAATGCTGTGTGAACACAGTTTTGCCTAGTACTATCAGTGAAGGTTAACACAGAGGAAGTGTTACTTGAGCTAGGTTTTGAAGGGCAAATAGGAATTTTCTAGGCAGAGAAGTGGAGAAAAGGCCTTCAATGCAGTGGCATGAAAATGCAGGCTCTGTATAGTTAAGGAACGCAAGCAGTCTGGTTTGGCTAGAATTAGGGGAGATAGATAAGCTGGAAATACAGGTTGGAGTCAGATTGTAAAGAGCTGTTTTTTGACCTCTAGACTTTCCCCTATAGATAACAGGCTGCTATAGAACAGGTTTTTTTGTTTTTGTTTTTAAGGAGCATTTTTATAGTGAAATAAAAATTGTAGATTTTCTGGTCTTCTTAGAGCACACTGAACATTGTTTAACTTTTTTTATGACTGATAGTTCATCATTGAGAGGCAGAATAATGTATTGGTAGGATGGGCTTTGAAGCCAGCTGCCTCAGTTTGAATCTTTTCCACCTACTTAGCTATGTGATACCTCAGTTTCCTCATCTGTAAGATGAGATAATAGTAGTACTTTCCTTGTAGGGTTGTTGGGAGTTTGGTAAATAACTAAATGTTTAGTACCTTGAACAGTGTTTGGCACATTAAAAGTGATAAGTGGGCTAGCTCTTACGTTAGTTAATCATCTTCATTATTTTCATTACTATTAACATAGATTAGTGTATCAGGGTGTTTATCAGTGGTACTGCCAGGACCTAATGAAGCGTGTCATCCAGTTTGCCCTTACTAAGTAGCTTCACCCTGCTTTTAAGTTCTTCTGCCTTTTTAAAACCTGTATGTCTGTCTTATCAATTTCATTCCACCTAATATGTAACTTTTAATCCATTATGGGCTTTGACCATACAACCAGGTTTGTACAAATTATATATAAAGGGATAAATAAATTTCAGGTGAGAATACGATTTTTTGGGAGGGGGTGGTAAGGGAAAATATATGGCTTTATTGTATAATCTTATAAGCTGTATTTTGGTTGTTTAGAGGCTTTTTTCCCCTATTCAGTTTTTAAAATTGAGATGTAATTCATATACCATAAAATTCACCCTTTTAAAGTATATAATTCAGTGGTTTTTCATGTGTTCACAGAGTTGTGCAACCATCACCACTAATTCCAGAACGTTTCCATCGTCCCCCCAAAAAAATCCCATACTCATTAGGTCACTCCCCATTCCCCACTCCTACTTCCCCCCAGCCTTTGGCAGTCACTAATGTTTACTTTTTATCTCTGTGGATTTGCCTGTTCTAGACACTTCATTTAAGTGAAATCATATAACATGTGGCCTTTTTTGTCTGGCTTCTTTCACTTAGCATGTTTTCATATTCACCCACGTTGTAGCATGCATCAGTACTTCATTCCTTTTTGCAGCTAAATAATATTGTATTGACATTTTTATTATGGACATTTGGGTTGTTTCTACTTTTGACTATTATTAATAATGCTATGAACATTTATGTATAATTTTTTTTGAGGCTATGTGTTCAGTTCTATTGGGTATATACTTAGGAGTATATTGAAATTGCTTAGTCATATGATAATTCTATATTTAACTTTTTGAGGAACCACCAAACTGTTTTCCACTGCAGCTGCACCATTTTATATTCCCCTAGCGATGTATGAGGGTTCCAACTTCTCACCAGCACTTGTTACTGTGTTTTTGATTATAGCCATCCTGCTGGGTATGAAGTGGATATCTCATTGTGGTTTTGATTTTAGTTTCCATAATGAGTAATAAAATGAGCAGTCTTTTTGTGTGTTTATTGTCCATTTGTATATCTTCTTTGGAGAAAAGTCTGTTCAAATCCTTTGCTCGTTTTTGAATTGGGTTACTTGTCTTTTTATTGTTAAGAGCTCCTTACATATTCTGGATACTAGATTCTTATCAGATACATGATTTATAAAACTTTATTCCCATTCTGTGGGTCGTCTTTTCACTTTTCTGGATAGTATCTGAAACACAAAATTTTTAAATTTGATGGAAGTCCTTTTTTTTTTTTTTTTTTAGTTACTTGTGCTTTTAGTTTCATACCTAAGAAACCATTGCCTAATCCAAGGTCATAGAGGTTACCCTTATGATCACTTTGAGTTAATTTTTGTGTATGTTGTAAGGGTAAGGGTGTAACTTCATTGTTGTGCATGTATATCCTTTTGTACCGGCACCATTTGTTGAAAAGGCCATTCTTTCCCCAATTGAATTATCTTGTTGCCATTGTCAAAAGTTAGTATGTGTGAAGATTTATTTCTGGGCTTTCTGTTTTATTCCATTGGTCTATACGTCTATCCTTATGCTAGTACCACACCACTTTGATTACTGTAGCTTTGTAGTAAAGCTTTGAAATCAAGAAATATGAGTCCTCTAACTTTGTCCTTTCAATTGTTGTGGCTTTTTGAGGTCCCTTGAGATTCTTAGTGAATTTTAGAATTAGCCTGTCAATTTCTGCAAAAAGGGCAGCTGGAATTTTAACAAGAATTGCATTGGACCTCTAAATCAATTTGGGGAGTACTACCATCTTAACAATACTAAGTCTTCCAATCTGTGAATGTGGGGATGTCTTTCCATGTAGTTAGCTCTTCTTTAATTCTTTTCAGTAACATTTTGTTGTTTTCCATATACAGGTCTTTCACCTCTTTGGTTAAATTTATTCCTAAGTATTTTATTCTTTCTGATGCTGTTGTAAATGGAATTGTTTTCATAATTTCATTTTTGGATTGTTTGTTGTTGGCATGTAGAATACAATAGAGTTTTGAATTTGATCTTGTATGCTGCAACTTTGCAGAACTTATTTATTGGTTCTACTAGAAGTTTTTTAAGTTGATTCCTTAGGATTTTCTTCACATAAGATTATGTCATGTGCAAACAGAGATAGTTTTACTTCTTTCTTTTCTTTGTGGATGCTTTTTAATTTCTTTTTCTTGCCTTATCACTCTGGCTAGAACCTCATGTTGAGTAGAACCTAAGCAGACATCCTTGTCTTGTTCCTGGTATTAGGAGGAAGGTGTTTAGTCTTTCACTATTGAGTACTATGTTAGTTGTGGGATTTTCACATATGGCATAAAACACCATTTTTACTTGAAAGAATGACTAATAGACAAAGTATGTTTCCTCAGACATGAATATTTGGTAGACAATTTCTCCAAAATGAGCGAAGTGACCTGTTATTTCAAGGAAAACAACTTAACCTATCTCTCTGCTTCCATCATGGCTACCTCCACAAGCCCAATCCATTTCCCACACAACAACTAATACTATCATTGTAAAATAAAAATCAAGTCACGACCTTCCCTTGTTTTATACCTTTCCATGGCTTCCCATTGCACCCTCTATCCATTTGCTCAAACCGGAAACCTATCCAATCCATTAGTAAGTATGCTA